CCACGATCCCGAGATGGGCAAGCAAGAGGATGTAAAAAATCAATTCAGCAGTCAGCTGTGATGCACAATGGCTCCCCGGGATAGGGTAAGGACAGCCCAAGTACACAGGCAGATAGGGAATGAGACAACTGAGTGGGGCAGTGTGGTGTGACTCTTGCAGTGACTGCGCATAACTCAGTGCCACTGCGAGTAGGGAGAAATCTCTGCAGAAACCCTGCAAAACGTAGAGACTTTTCAGACCACTTGGAACTAAAATGTATATGGTTTTGCATTCCCAAATTGATTTGTCAAGTGCTGCAAAGCTTGGGTGAATAAACAAGGGACTCCATTGAGGACCCTGGCAAAGGACAGTAAGACCTCAATTATTTGGCAATCTCAACTATTGAGGGAACACAGGTGAGACAGATGACCGAAAGGGCCTCTGAGCAGTCTACGATGACATAAAACCTATGCCTCGAGGCTCATAACCTGAATTCAGAAGAGCACACCCCTCGGAAAACACTCTTTACTCTTGCCTCGGAAAACACTCTTTACTCTTGCTTCAGGACCAAGGCTAAGGGACTTGGTCATCTGATTTCCTGGTATGGTAGATCAATTTAAAAATGAGTCTCTTTCTCCAACCCATGAATTTGGTCTGGGCTTGTGACGTGTTAGCCAATAAAATATAGCAGAAAGGACAGAGTTTCAGTTCCAAGCCTCAGGAGGCTTTGCCTGCTTCTACTCTCTCTCCTGGAATTCTGCTATTCCCACGTGAGCAAGGTCAAACTGGCCGGAGGATGAGAGACTGTGTGAGGAAGAGCCCAGTATTCCAGCTGAGGTCATGCTAAACCAGCTGGAGCCAAGCGTGTGAGAGAGCCCAGCCAAGTTCACGGAGCTGCCTCCCCGGTCCATGGCTGCACACAGACACAAGCCCGAGCCCAGTGGAGCCGGCTGGTTGGCACGTAATCATGTGGGCAGTAACAAATGCCCGTTGTTTGAAGCCACTAGGTTTTGAGGTCAGTTGTTACTCATCGGTATCTAACTGAAGCACCTGGTCTGCTGCAGATTGTTGACCGGGAACAAGAAAAAAAACCAACAACCAAACAACTAAAAAGCAGAAACAGAGACTCAAAGGTTGTAATGGTCTGGGGCTGTTTAGGGAAAGGGAAGTAGTTTGTGGGACTTCCTAAGACCCTGATCACTGGTGGTTTTAAAGCACAGTATAAAAGTCATCCAGGAAAATTAACTGAAATACAGTGTCCTTTCTTTAAGAAGGCAAGTGCATGAACCATACTTAAGAAAGATCCTCGTGTGGGGGCTCCTGGGTGGCGCAGTCAGTTGGGCATGCAACTCTTGGTTTTGGCTCAGGTCGTGAACTCAGGGTCGTGAGATCGAGCCCCGTGTCGGGCTCCGTGCTCAGCGCAGAGTCGGCTTGGAGTTTCTCTCTCCCTCTCTCTCTGCCCCTCCTCCCTTCTCTCTCTCTCTACTAAACAAATCAATCTTTAAAAAAAAAAAGAAAAAAAGAAAGATTCTCATTTAAAATAGTTAAGATAAAAGGCTTAAGGTGTTAAACGTTATTTATCTGAGAGATTCATTTGTGTGTGCGGGGACCATACTATCTGAAGCAAAAATCGGGTAACATCTTAGACAGGACTTTGTATTGCTTCCAGGTGCAAAAGGCAGCAAATGCTGGGAAATGGACTTTGGTTGCCATGATGTTGGCCTTTAGCCACTCATGGTGACAATGGGACAGTGTAGTCGAAACCAGGATGACCCAAGAAGATCTGGGCAGAAGAACCAAACTCTTCCCATATGGCCCTTCCTTCCTCAAAGATGCCAGATTAGTGGTGCTGACACACAGACATGGACTGCAGAGGCAGCCTTCATGGGCAGCCTGCAGGGCTCTCTGTGCAGCAGACTGAAAAGAGACAGGGTGGAAGAATTGCATTCGCACAAAGCTGCCATCTGCAGGACCAGCTTCACTCCTTGGCTTGCCCTTTGTTGGTTCCTCTGAACACCATACACCCAGTTCATTCCGTTCCATGTACCTGAAGTCTGCTCCTTTCCAAGACACCATTAAGCACCACAGGGGGAAACGAAAAAAATAATGGCTCATATTCATTGCATGTGTAGTAAGTGCCAAGGACTGGATGAAGCTCATGTCATGGACGAACTCATTAACCCTGTAAGTTAAGTGCTACTGCTCTCTCTCCTTTAAAGAAGTAGAACAGAGGCACAGAGAGATAAAGCAACCTGCCCAAGGTCACACAGTTAGAAAATGGCAGAGGCAGGATCCCAGCCCTGATGGCTGGCTCTACACCCATCCCCTAAATCGTTCGGCTCTGCTCCTTCAGTAGGCAAGTGTCCTTGTTCCCTTCCTGGCTGGGTGTTGGCCAGAACCTTTGACCACAACCCTGAGCCAACCCATCACCCATCACCGGCCCTCACGCCTCTCCCCAACATCAGCTGTCAGGGAACTGCGTGACATGCACCTGTTCTCAGGGGGATGAGGTCCTTTGCCTGATGGCTAATTACTACCCATCACCTGCCGCAGGCCCAGGGAGAGCAGCCCCGCCACGGGGCTGCGTGCGCCCACCTGAGGCAGCTCAGCTTTCAGCTTTGGGGAGCGGAGCGGTGGCACCCAAGGCTAGCTGCCAACACCCCCTCCCTGTCCCCGCCCCATGCGGAGCCACTAAAGGCCAAGGCTCCAGGCTGCTTTATCTCCTGCTCACACCCGTCTCCTCTCCCTCCTCCTCTCTATCCGGGAGTTTCTTTGTGGTTCTAATGAAAAACCCTTGTGTCACATTGAAAAGTTGCCAGTTATTGCTGCCAGGAATAAAATCCAGTCTCTGCTGGGCGGAGACTCCCGAAGCCTCGAGCTGGGAGTGAGGAGCGGCTGGTTGGAATCATCTTTCTGGCGTCAGCCGAGCAGGCTCTCAAACATAAAGAGATGCCCCCAGGTGGGGCCCTCCCTGACAGCGGTAAGCAAACACACACCAGGCCTGGCCAGGCTCCCCGCCCCACCTGGACTGTCTCCCGGGCCGGCCTCAGGCCCCAGCACACCTGCCAGTAGTCAGTGGGCTTCCCTCAGGCTGACTGGTTCAGGCTCTTTCCCCATCTCCCCAGAGAGCGGACAAAGCTCGGTGCCCCTTCTCCTGTGAGCTCTCAGGTCGGTGAGGGCTAGGCAGTGGCTTCCCCAAATCCTTGGAGACCTGCTCAGTCCACCTGCAGATTATTCAAAATGTGGGCTCCTCTGGATCTACCTGGAGTCCCTGAATCCAAATCCCCAGAGCTAGGGTTTGGGAAACCCCATTCTGAACCCCTCCCTGCTTGGACTGTCCTTCTCAAAACCATGGGACCTAAGCCACTTGACCCAAGGAAAGATGCTCCCCGTACCGCGCTCCCCTCCACCCCAAACACACATGCTCTCCTAGGACTGCAAAGTCTCATGTGCCCTGCGAAGGCCAGGTGTGACTGGCACATGAGGACAGCCATCCCTGTCCCTCTCTGACAGAGACAGAAGCTCAGAGGCCCTACAGGCTTGGCACCAATGCAAGCAAGGTCACCCTGCCACCTCACACACGGGCACTCTCTGGGACAAAGGCAACTGCAGTGAGATCAGAAAAGCAATTTTAGAGCCTGGTACTTGGGAAGCCCCATCTCATGACAGCTGGGGGGAGGCGGCTCCAGGGCTCGAAGAGTCAGCTGCAGCCCCGACTCCACAGCAATCCCTGTGGAAGGGGGAGCTGAGCGCCAGCCTCTGGCCACCTTCCAGAGCGCTTGCATTGGAGAAAATGGGAATCTCGGTGATTCTTACAAGGGGCGATTTTGCCTCCTGCCTGGTCCTGCCCTGGGAATGTTTGGTGATGTCTGAAGACATTTTTGGTTGTCATCACTGTGAGGTGGGTTTTGGCATCTAGTAGGCAGAAGTCGGGGATGCTGCTAACTATCCTAAAATGCACAGGACTGTCCAGGATGTCAATAGCGACATTACCAATGAGTCTCGGAATAGAGATGCCAGCCCAAATCCATAGATGTCCTTGGCCCCCTGAACACAGGGTGTCCATTCAGGGTTTTGGGTTTGGGAGTGGGATTTTTCTTAGCCTTGATTTGTTGTTATTTATCTAGAAAGAATATGCAGATCAACCTGGGGGCCAGCAGGGAAAGGCTCACAGGTTGAACACACAGCCAGGCTTCTGTGTGAGTGCGGCTTAAAGAACCCACTTTACGCCGATATCCAGTAAATGCTAAGACCCAGCTTAAGCCCTTGATCCCTCAGATACTGGTCATCTCTTAAACAGTAGCATATGGACGAACAAATGTTCAGTGTGGGACTGTCCGATCATATTTATTCCATCACGGATTCCCCAGGTGGTCTCTCCTCTTCACTGAGGATTGAAAAACAGACCATTTAGTTGACAAAATGGAGTTTCCCCCAAGTTAACGGAGTGGGAGTGGAACCAGCTACAGGTGCAGACTGTGGCACAAATGCTCCTGAGGAAGCCGGGCTGGAGGGGCCAAATATTTTCTTTACAGTTGATTTGATGCGGTTCTGTGGTCAATGGTGTGTGCAGGTGGGATGCCTCCTGATGGCCCGGCCCCCTCCTATTTGTGTGGCCAGCACCTCAAAGGGCACACAACATTTTTTTCCCCTATAAAGTGGATCTGGGCATTTTATAGCTGAAAAGGGAGCAATTCCATTTGAATGAATCAAGAGGCTGAGGGCAAAAGTGCATTACGTAGCTTTTACACACATTCCTCCTGGATTGACAAGGATTGACAAGGTCCCGTGGCCACCCCCGGGAAAGCTTCAGCCACAAAACATTTCTTGACATCATTCAAGGGAGGTCTGCTGTCTTGGCTGGACTTGCACAGGGCCTGTGGTGTTTTTTCACTTAACAGTTTAAGAAATGACTATGGTCTGCCTCTTGGTGTGGTGCATCCTTGTTAGCCATGACCCTGTAACGTTTCTCCTTTGTTAAATTAGAAGAAAACAGTAATATTATGGAGGGGAAACATACCTTTCAGCCACTTTGGACATTTTTAAACAATGTCTGTCAATCTGTGCATTCAAAAATGTTATCTGGGGAAAGATAGAACAGAGGTGTTAAGACCAAACTTGATTTTTTCCCCCCTTCACCCCATGAACCCAAACCTTGTTTTTCCATCAATAGCCAAACAGCTCCTCTGGCCAGCCTTTGCCAACCCTCCAGCTTTGCATTCCAACAATCATTTGCCCTTCTGGAAATTCCCACCACACTCAGGAATCACACTCTACAATTTAGCCTATGCTAATATTCTGTACTGTGTTGTAGCCTAGGTCTCGACTCCAAAAAGTGATTGCAAACTTAAAGGCAGTGGTATACATCCTACAAAGCTTAGCAACATTTTATAGGCACTGTAAATATCTGTTTGGACTAATTTCCAGTGATTGCCCTCTGCACTCCCTTCACACCTACATCACACCTACCATATGCTTGGTGTACTCGACTAGATCATGAAATAGCTACTTCACATACATCTATTTCCTCTTCCCCACCACAAATAAACTTGTCAAGGGCAGGCACCTTTGGGTTTCCCCCAAGAAGCCAAGAAAACATAATGTAAAGATCCTAAAGTTACTTCATTGCCCGTGAATCCTAGAAAGGAGTAATGTAATTAGCCATTATCTGCTGACCTGGGTTGACCAGTTAGCTTCTCATCATGAAGGAAGAAAACATTGAACCAAATAATGCTGAATTGGCACTGAGAGTGGGGCTTTCTTTATTTGTAAACTTGCCTTTTGAATCACAGCAATAAAGTCGGTGGTTCTGAGCTGGCTTACTCTGTAAGTGCATTACAATTTTTAAGGACTCCGTGACATCCATCCCTCCCCCCTTCAGCCCCCACAGCATTCTGTGGGAACCCCACCTACAGCAGTCACCCCGAGGCATTGGGATAACTCCTCTACGTCCTTCTCTAATAACTGCTGGGGGAACTTGGTGGAGACTTTTTCCTCTCAAGCTTCCATGGGTTGTTCGCACACAGCACTCAGAGGTTCAAGTCATCCACAGCTGGGTTCCACTGTGGTTTCCAGGAACTCAAAGCTCACTCAGCCTTCAGAGGTGAACATTCAAAGGGTTTTCAAACTGGCCACGTCTCCTCCTGGGAGTGCAGTAGTCAATTCATTCACCTGTTTCCGGATGTCCTCTTTTGTAGTTCTCCTGATTGGCTGACTGGGTATGTGCACAGGGCTTTGCGACCGGGACTCTTCAGTCACGCCATACACTGACTAGAGAAGAAGCAACAAGATAGAATCATGCACCCTCAGAGTTGCAGGGCGCTTTAGGGGCAGGCACTGCAAGAGCTCTTTTGATGCTTCCAATCCCCTTGGTGACATCCTGATAATAAGTGATCAGCCTCTGTGCAAATTTCTACAGTGAGGGGACCTCTTCCACTTGAGGCAGCTTGTCCCATCTTTGGGCTACCACTGTTAGAAGATCTTTCCTCTCACTAAGCTGCAACAGTCTCTTGAATATCAGCGTGTCTCCAAATATGGTCCTAGACCATCCACAAAGAATCATCTGGGGGTACTTGGTAAAGATGCACATTGCTGAGCCCCACCCCCGACCTACTGAATCAGAGTCTTTGTGGGTGGGGTTTGGGAACCTGCACTTTTATCAAATGGCCCAGGTGATTCTGAGGCACAAGAAAGTTCAAGAACAACTGTTGAAAGTTAGGCACGAAAGATCCTCTCTAGATTTTCTCTTCCCCAGCAGATGACAATGCCCATCTGGTACAAATTTGAGATGGCAGGGTTTCAGATTCTTTCTTTTTCAGCCAGCTTTCTGGCCTCAGTTTCTCCTCATGCTATGGCTTCTTATTAAGCAGTTTCCTTGTGCTGGAGACAGATGAAAGACAATCTTTGCTTTGAGAATGAAATGAAACCCCGAAGGCTATGTAATGTATAGCTGCAATCTATAAAATCAAGAGGGGCTCAGAAAGAGAGGATGTGAGCCCCATGAAATTCTGGAATATTAGAATTAGGGGGCCCTTAAAGATTAATTGAGGACGTTTTAAGACTAACGTCATAAAGTCTCATACCTACAAGGGCATAACTATTTCAGTAAAGAATAAAATATGTAAGTAGATTCAAGAAGTTGATATATATATATCATGTCGTGTGTGTGTGTGTTTGAAAAGATGAGAGCATTGGTCATTACAAGAAATAGGAATGTCTGAGGGCTCATCTCTAACCTTCTGAAATTAATATTATGGGGGACAGACATGTTCTCCCACAATATGGTCCTTGGTGTCATGGTGAGGTTGGGATATACCAGTTGTGGGGCAGGCTGAATGTGGCACCCTTGAGTATGTCATGGCCATTGCCCCTTCCAGGAGAGTGAAACACAAATAAATGACGGTTGGCACATTCACAGTTGGGTATGACGGTGATGTGAATTTGGATGATCTAGCTACATAAAAGACTTTCAAAGTACTAAGCTCACCTTCACCCATGGGACTTGGATACTTTTTGTTCCTTTAGTTTCTTTTCCTCCCTGGAGCCAATTGCTATTTACCCTGCACACCTCAGCACACTTGAGCCTGCTTTGGAAGCCCTCAGGAAGCTCCCGGTCTGGTGTCCCCTCCTGGCCCCCTGGTGCCATCCAGCACTTCCCTGACACAGCCCTCCTAACTGCCTGGGGGTTCGCCTCCCCCCACCCCAGTTGTGGGCTTTGTGACGACTCATCACTGTATTTCAGCAGCAAGAACGGTGCCAAGTACACATCGGCCACTCCACAAATATTTGTAGAATGAATGAATGAAATTGTTTCAAAGGACAAAATGGGGTAGAATTAACAAACAGCAAACAACTGTTTGAACAGTACCAGAAACAGAAAGGCTATTTGCGTCAAGAATTTTTAATTCAGCTAAACTAGCGAACCTTTTTAACCTTTTGTGGGTTCTTCAGACGCCGGCATTTTCTGATATCCATTTCTGTTGTGTTCACACACCCTGGCTGAGAAAAAAAAAATCATTATATAAACTGCTAAGTGAAAATCACACCTTCCAGTGTGACCCAAGCGACACCACCAGACCCAGTCTTTGTCTTTCCCATTACAGATATTACATGATTATCTCCACTTGGCCATTTACAATCCCTTTTACAAAGATGTTTTGTCTTCAGTATGTGTTCCTGCACGGAGTCCCCATATGAAATATCAAAGCCTACCTCCCACTATCTAGGGGTGATATGTAGAGGGTAGAGTGTATAGTTCATAAGAGTAAACTTCTTTTTTTTTTTTAAAAAAGATTTTTATTTATTTGACAGAGAGAGACACAGCGAGAGAGTGAGCACAAGTGGGAGGAGGAACCGAGGGAGAAGCAGGCTCCCCATTGAGCAAAGAGCCTGATGTGGGACTCGATCCCAGGACCCTGGGATCATGACCTGAGCCAAAGGCAGACGCTTCACCGACTGAGCCACCCAGGCGTCCCAAGAGTAAACTTCTTATTCAGAGTGGCTAGATAGTTTCAGCCACAGCCTTTGTTACTACATGTTATTCGACCATCTACCAACAATCCAATATCACACTGGGGAATTACTTTTTGGGTTTTGCTTTTAACCAGCTTTTAGGAAGGGCTGACATAGGTTCCCCATTCTAGTTCCATTTCATGAGGAGAATGCAAGATTTGTTTTAATCATAGGAAATTAGAAATACTCATTACTTCTAACCTCATTATGCATGGATTTTGTATTTGTGAATTCACCTACGAACTAAACTTTATTCATAACTTCCAAGTCCCTATTTGTGGTGCATTTGTGATCATTTGTGGACACGGGCAAAGCAGCAAAAATCATGAGCGGCCCGATGTGGTGTTCCCAAGGAGGCTGACTAAGCTGAGGCTCTGCCTTCTTGTTTCATCTCTTACTGTAAACGAATGTCCTTTTGACGGTCTATTTAGGCCCACCTTTTCCACAGTTCTGTGCTTTTTGTTGGTTTTGCTGTTTAACGTGGCCCCCGAGCATAGTGTGATGTGCCGTCTAGCGTTCCTATGTGCAAGAGGGCTGTGGGGTGCGTGACAGAGAACACAGGTGTGTCAGGCAGAGAACACTGGTGGCCCTGAATTAAGTATTCATATATCAAGAACATACTTTAAATAAGATGTCTTTAAACAGAAACAGGCTTTAGACATGGTTACCTATTGATTAGTTGAAAAGACTGTGACCAGAGGCTCACGGAAACCTAACCCTGTATGTCTCCCTGGATAATGGCTCAGCATTGGCTAATTCAGTGTGCATGGCTACTTTGCAGAATGTAACTACCGTGAATACTGACAATGGGCCGCATTTGAGGAAGATCATTCTACAATTTAGAGTCGAGTGACAGTAGAAATGGAAACTGCTTATTGAAAGTGAGGGGATGGAGAAACATCTATCATGCAAATGGGTATCAAAAGAAAGCCGGATTTAGCTATACCGATATCAGACAACTAGACTTAAAACCAAAGACAAACGAGAGGTGAAGAAGGGCACTGTATCATAAGAAAGGGGACAATCCAACAAGAAGTTCTAACAACTGTAAATATTTATGCACCCAATTTGGGAACACCCAAATATATTAAAAAAAAAAAAAACAAACCCCAGAAACTGCTTATTTTGGGGCTGTAAACTTCTGGGGCCCAGAGGTCCCAGGGGGAATTCCCACGGTTCTCCTTTTCCAAGTCCATATTTTCATGGATGAATAATTCTTAAAAGCTGGAACTGACATACATTCCAGACAATCTACCGAGATTATATCAACTGAATGTCAAAACCCATTTCACAAAGTTTAGCAATGCTCTTTAATTTTGAAAGAATGAGACACCTGGTGGCTAAAGACAGTCTTTTCTTTCAAGTGACGGAAGAGGGAAACAAAACAAAACAAAACAAAACAAAAACATAGAGAAACAAGCACAGCTTTCTCACCACTGGCCTGTGCACATCCCAAAAGGCCCGTTCTTGACTATCCAAAATTTTCCTTTCTGTCTTGTCCTTTTTCCGATCTATCCTGAAAGAGCAAAGAAAGGAAATCAGAGGCTCCTGTTTCTAGGCGCTTAGTGCACACAGGGCTATTGGCATCCGTGTGGTCCCTGCTCTTTGCAGAGCTGTAACACAGGGGCGGACCATTCCCTCAAGAGAACCTTAAGAAGTCCACACGTGGGAAGAGTACTTGTTTTCGGCTGGACTGCAAATCATCATAGATGCGGACTGAACATTGTGGGCCCAAGGAGAGAACCAGAATCCAACTGTTTATGTGAATGATTAAGATTGATATCATTCAGAACTGAATTATCCATGGATATGCCCCCATCAAAGTGGACCCTGCGTATTCAAATTGTAGGAAAGAATATAACCATGGGCTTGCAGTGTTTCATCCTCAAATTTGAGAGTTTGCTTTAGATTCAGTTAACAGAAATGTCTTCAAAATACTGTAATTGCATGTTTTAAAAGTCATTTAAAGCTTCTAGCTTTCTAAAAGCAGAGTAATAGCCCTAACATGTGACAAGATCCAGAAGGCACATATCACTGGCCTCAGCTGGGGGAGGTACAAACTGCAGGAGGTACATTACACGTGACAAAGACAGATTCTTTATGGTCTGATCAGTAAATAGATAAGAGTTGTTTTTGTTTTTTTTAAGGCCTATATTACTTCATATCACCTTTCTAAGTAAAAAGTAACAGATTAATTGTTGTGTAACTTCTGGTTCTTGGCTCTCTTGGGAGCACTTCAGTTTACTGGCCTGAAATAAACCATAATCACCCTCTGATTTTTGTGATAATTACTGTGTACTTCAACGGCCCACAATTATAATGTAATCACGAACTTAATCAAAAAAGTTAATCGAGAAATACTGTATATGAAGAAAGTGACAATTTCCCCTCCTTTTTCAACATGCGATGCTGGGTGATCCTCAAAGTGCAAATTAACTCTCCTCTTTGCTTTGCAGTGGCTTCTGAGTACACAGGCTCAGAACTGTGTTTGGACGTCTCTGCCGTCTCCTCCCCCCTCAACCTCCCTCCCACTTCCTCTTTCCTCAGGGGCCACAGCTCCTCCAGCTCAGCACAGCATCCCGTGCCCAGTGCCCACCTCCCTCCCGGCTGCCGGCAGCACCAGGCATGGTCTGCAGGCGTGAATCGTGGCAGAGGGGCAAAGCAGAGACTGCAGAGGGAGGGGGAGAGCCATGGCACCATGCTGGCCACCAGACCCAAAGTCCTTGGGTCATTTCGAACTATGACCACACCTGTGATCGATGACCCAGCCCGGGGTGATGGGCTGCAATGCTGCCCCCAGAGTGCGGAGGGGTGCTGCTCAGGGACAAGCAGCGTTCAGAGAAAAGGTGCTCGCCTTTGCCTAGCTCAGTGTCCCTTTCTCATCTCCTCCTCTGTCCCATTTCTTCTGTTAACACTCCCGGCTAAATCAGAGATCATTGTTGGAGAGGGCAAGAGAGAACCCAACCTGAGCAAGTTCATTTCCTAGAATTGAAAGGACGTGGTTAACAACTATGCTTATGGGCGGGGGCCATGTATTGGCCACTTATTATGTTTCCTTCGAGAGGTAGGAATTTCCACTGTAGTCCCTGGGAGGGAAAAGTATGGGGAAACACTCCAGCTAGTCTTTCATCTCCTGTACTCCGGGGGAGAAAGAGGGCCTTCACTTTGTTGGTGGATCTGAAAGAAGAAATTGAGAAAGCTCAGGTCGGTCCTTTCTGGGCCCTGTGTGGGTCAGCCTGTTCTCAGGATGCCTGTCCTCTGCATGCAGTGAACTTACAGGGGTCAACTCTGCCCTGGGGTGGGGGGTTCTGCAGATATCTAGCTTTGTTCAGCATGGGCGAGCTGAATTCCAGGGTAAAGATCTGTCGTCACAGATCCAAAGTCACGCCCTAGAACCTGGCTTTTATCAGTAATAATCTTAACACACTGGACTCCAACATCTGATTTCTGTGCCTTATTTTTGAAGTGCTCAACCCCTCCCCTCGGGGGGGGAAGGGAGAGGAGCTGGCCTCCCTAAACTCCAACATGTTTTCCTATGAAGAGATAATCTCTAGAAAAGTGGGTCTGATGTTTTTCAGCCCCTAAGCACAGAAGAATACTTGGAAATCTCTTTAGGAAATAGGAACATCTTCTAACCAGACTTCTACATTGGAAAGCGAGCCCATTGCCTGCTAGAACACATGCTTTTGAAGTTATTTCAGAGTGCCATTGATTTCAAAGATGAAACTTATCCATCTTGACTTTGATTTCTACTCTGCTGCTCTCATGCAAGACGACAGCATTTGACCGGCCGTAGCTGGCCGGCCGTGGAAGGAAACCACTCTCAAACCACCTCCACATTCCAGAGAGTCTTTCTCTCTTTTCCAGGGTCTCTGTCAAGTTCACCTACTTCACTTGTGCTTCTGCTTGCATAAAGATGAATTCCCACTTCCTTGCAAAGGCCCTCTGGAGTCTTGCTAAGTTTTCCTAATGAGAAATGAAAATCAACGAGAAGGCATTAATCTTTGTAAGTTTGCACATCAACACCTATGCTTATTACAAGGCAGTCATCTATTTTGGTTACTCTCCACAGAATAGCAGCGCCCCACTTTAAATCACTGGATGCGAACCCAATGTGATTTTGCACCAGACCCTGCTGTACAGAGTAGAACTATTAATATTCATTTACACACCCATTAAATCTGAAATCTCCGTGGTTCACCTGATTCCTCTTCTCTTGTGTGTTTTATATGAACTTGTCGTCACCATCACTGAAGATAAGGAGAAGGGTTTGTGGCTATTCATGCAGGATTTGGGGAAGGGATGAGGGGGCTCTTTGCAGCCTATTGGACATCTCCAAGAGCAAAGGCAAGAAGGGATTTCTCAAGACTCATTTTCCAGCAAGCAGGGGCCCGGGAAGGCAGCAGGAAAGGAAAACGTTGACGACCTGGCATTCATGCCTTTGAAAGTTCGGATTCAAAAGAGGGAGAAAAGGGAATGTCTATATTTGTGATGTTCATGAAAGGAAAACCCAAAAACAGAAAGAAAGAAAAGGCATCCAGGATTGCCTTTAGAGGAAGAGGGGAGAAGCCTTTTCTCTAAGCCTGTAGTCTCTCCTGAAGGCACAATAGGACAGTCGTTGGTGGGGGGTGTTTGACGGGTCTCCTAATGATCCACCTAATTCTGATGGAATGCAAGGACAGAGCCCACATTATGCTATGTATTTTCATAGAGCTCATGCCAACACTAATTGATTACTCTCATTAGTGGGTTATTAATATAAAAGGAGCTTCAGTTGAAGATCAACACACATAAACTAAACTCAGTTATTACCAAGGCTCAGTGTACGAATATCTCAAAAAAACCTGTTCCTTTGATTCTTCCACTGTTCATAGGAAGCAAAGCTGGTGATACCTACACATCAGTCAATTCAGGAGCAGTTATATAAATTATGAACAGTCACACCATGGAATACGAGGCAACAATCAAAATCAATAATGTAGATTATTGTTACTGACATGGAAAGATTCTCAATATACTTATAGCATATGATTGGGGAAAGAAGCAGCTTACAGAATAATGTTCAGGGTATGATTCAAGTTTTTGTTTTTGTTTTTGTTTTTTTTTAAGGAAAAAATGTATGTACAGAAGAAAGATTAGGGGAGAAGGAATACAGGTTCTTTCCCCTCCTTTCTTTGCTGTTGAATTTTTGGTTTTACAAAGAGAGTATGCCATCAGAAAAAAATGAATAACATTACTGAATTTTGAAAACAAAATACTTTTTAAATTTTCTAACCCACTTTTAGGCAGAACTGCAACCTGAAAGAACATCTTAATGCCATATTCTTTACAAATACCAAAACAGAATATTATACAGCAAAAGAGGAGAAAACTGAATAAAATATATTGGGAGTTGATACTATCTTGTTTCTGTGTAGGACGTTTTTTATGACATGGAAAATCTGGGGAAGAGAGACGCAGGGAGGCCAGGCCACACGCTTCTGCAGGCTAGGTCTTTTTGATAGGTCATGTTAGGGAAGGGATGTAGCACCTTGTACTGGGTGCACAGAAGTAGGAGAGCAGATTCTGAATGAGGGGTGATGGCTGGCACAGGAGGCCTGATGGGGACAGGAACTGGGTGCCCAGGATGCTCAGATCCACAGAATAGCCATGCTAGGGTTTGCTTGGGAAGATCATAATGTTCCAACATATTTACGTGTAATGGCTCCCATTGATAAGCACACTTTGGCCAGGTCCTGAGGCCCTGGGTCAACTGAACCATGTCCTCCAGGACTGTTTTCCCACTGGCTTATGCACAGATACCCAAGAGTGACAAAGCCTGGTGCAGTGGGCCTCACACTTATTGTGGGAAACTGAGGCAGCGTGCAAGGGATGTTTGGAAGGAAGGAGCTGGAAGTCCTGTTAGTGCTGGATTACCGGGGAAGGATTCCTCACTGCCCCCAGGGCTGCCCCTCCCCCTCGCCGCCAGCCCGTCGGTCATTTCATGGCTCAGCAGCTGCCATACCTTCTGGAGGGTATGTGAAAATCTGGTCCATTTCCTAGATTCTCTGTGACCCATATAAAGTTTGGTTTGGGGGAAAGGTGGTGCAGGGGGAGAACTGGGAATGTCTGTACTTCATCTGACACGTATCTTATCTTCTGGATTAGATCTGGTCCTTAGATTCTACTGCCAAGAAAGGCAGAGTTGGGTTTAAAGATGCAATTAAAAATTATCATATAGTAAGTTTTAAAAATTCTCGTATTACGCCCCTTTTCTTTTCTTTTGGTGTACAGCTGTATGCATTTTAACACACGTATAGATTAGATCCCTGGAACGACCACCACAGTCAGGATACAGAATAGTTCCATCATCCCCAAAAAAACTCCCTGTGCTGTCTCTGTATGGCCACATCATACCCCCACCTGTAACTCCCAGCAACCAGTGATCTGTTCTCTCTCATGATAGTTTTGTATTTACGAGAATGTCATATAAATGGAGTCACACAGTTTGAAATCTTTTGAGACTGGCTTCTTTCATTCCACGTAATGTCTGGAATACTCATCCAAGTGGTTGTGTGGATCAATAGTTTACTCCTTTTCACCACAGAGGAATACTCCCCTGAATGGACATACCGATATTTATTTATTTATTTATTTTAAAGATTTTATTTATTTATTTGAGAGAGAGAGAATGAGAGATAGCACAAGAGGGAAGACGGTCAGAGGGAGAAGCAGACTCCCCGCCGAGCGGGGAGCCCGATGCGGGACTTGATCCCGGGACTCCAGGATCAAGACCTGAGCCGAAGGCAGTTGCCCAACCAACTGAGCCACCCAGGCGCCCGGACATACCAATGTTTATTTCACCATTTACCTCCTAAAGCACCTTTGGGTTGTTTTCAGCTTTTGCTTATCACAAACAGAGCTGCTATACCCAGGTTTGTGTGTGAACAGAAGTTCTGATTTCTCTGGGTATGTATGTAGGACCGGGACTGCTTGGTTATATGGGAAGTGTATGCTTTACTTCATAAGAAACTGCCAAACCATTTTCCAGAGTGGCTGTGCCATTCTGCATTCCCACTTGGCATTCCCAGGACTTTTTATTTTGGCTAATTTAACAGATCTGTAGGGGCATCTCACCCTGGATTTAATCTTTATTTCCCTAATGGCTGCTGATGGTGAGGATCTCTTAATGTGTTTATTTGTCCTCCCTAATGTCCTCTTTGTTGAAGTGTCTGTTCAAGTCCTTTGCCCATTTTTGAGCTGTTTGTTTTCTTATTGCTGAGTTTTAGGAGCTCCTTATACAAAGATGCAATTTTACTGGATGGTAAGAAGAGGTGAGAACCAAGGAGGGTAGATAAAAGGGACTTCCCTTCCACTGTCTGAAAGGGACTAGGGAGAGAAAAAAGGAAACATAGAAGCGGAAACAGAGCTCCGGATACGGTTTTACTCTCCTCCCACACCTAAACTGAAAAATAACCATACTTACTGCTTCATAATCTGCCAATTCCAGCCTTGCTTTATTCTGCATTGTCCTCTTGCAGAGATAGATGGCTGAGGGAAGAAGAGAAATTACATGTGCAAAACCTGCAGTGCGGTGGCGTTAAAAATCCATCTGTCCATCTGTCCGTCTGCTCATCCAGCCAGCCATCCAGCCAGCCCTCCCTGTGTGCCCGGTGCTGCGCTGTGCAGAATTTGCTTCTGTGTGGAAGCCATGACACCTAACCTCCAGGAATCTTCCTGCAGCTCAGGATTGGATGAGGACTCCATCTTCCAAGTCTTGACCGTTCCCTTTCATCCTCCTTACTCTGTTTCACCCCAGGCATCCCTCACCAGGGTCATCTTTTACAAATATGATCATGTTACCTCCTCCACTCCCTGCACTGCTTCCTCAGTGACCTCAGAAGAACCGTCGGGCTCCTTAGGGTGGCAGGCTTGGTTCTTTAAGATCCAGTTCTGCTTACTTTGTCAACCTCTTCCTTCCCTGCCTCACTTTCAGTTCCACTCTTCTGCCCATGTGTTCTCTGCTAGGAAAGGCCTTTCCACTTCCCTCTTTTTTTCCTCTCTCTGGCAACGTCCTACTAATCTTGGAAGACTCAGCTCTGTGTTCTGGATAGCATCTACCTACCCTCACCCATGAAACTTAATTCCAGTGTGCGGTAATTGTGGGTTTACTAGACTGTCCCCGGCTCTAGGCTGAGGGCTCTTCAAGGGCAGAGGCTGTGTCCTACTCAGCTTGAATCCCTACACTTAGCACCAGTGTGGCCCACCAGGTGGAGTGCATGAACAGTGCAAAAGGAGGACAATTTGGGTCTCTCTTTCCAAGCTAAGGAAGGGTTCTTGGCCCTCAGTTGCCAGAGGATTCTTTCTGAAACCTGCTTTCATCACTTCCTCTCCCTACTTCTGCTTCTTCAGTATCTCCCTCCTTCTCCAGTGCCAAGTAGAAGGACCCAGGGAAGACAATAGATGAGTGGTATGAAAGATTTAGGATGACCAGAAGAGAGGGTCAGAGAGGACCTGTGGTTGACCCGTGGTTCGACAACTTAGTTATACTAGGAGATCTAGTCAACCTACTCCTTGCTGGATCAACCAATCTCCTCCATGCAGTTTGAAAAATGTGCTCACGGCAGCTTACAATATGCTGGAACCCTGTGGCTGGCAGCCTGCTCTGGTATGTTCATGCTTCTGCTCACTCCAGTGGAGTTGTATGTGAGATTCAGTCAGTTGTGTTTGTTCTCAAATCTGTTTATGTCAAGCATACCTGTTATTTTAATAATGTAAGTTCCCTAAATATTACATTTCACTGATGAAATTAATGTGAAAAGAGAGAGTTGTTGTTTTTATGAAGACCCAGGTGAATGGTTCAGAACAACCTGATAAAGAAGAGTTGGCTAAGACAATTGCTCATGAGTTTGGTAGAGGTGAAATAACTGAAAAAATGGGGAAAAAATAAAAATAATCTGAAAGGGGTGAACATATAGATTGTTTCAAAAATGTTTTTAAATTCTTGATGCACTTTAAAGATGCCCAAACTGGACGGTTTATCTTGAGTGTGTAGCTAAGACAGGAACTCATATCATTGGGGTCCGTAATCGAAGAGAGTCTTTGGTCCTATCTCAAAAAGCGGTCAAATGATTGTTCCTTTGTATAGCTTATGTTGATACGAAGTGATTCGGTATGAAGGTATCTCCTCTTCATAATCCTCCACTTACCAGCTTTTCCAGAGAACCAGGCACCCATAGCTCTCCATAACGTCTGAAAGCGGCATCTGCTCTATTACAAGGTACCTCCTTCATTCTCTTGGACCACCGTTAAGGCAGCCTGTGGATTTGGGGGCTACTAGAGAGGAAGCCTATCCACCAGCCCCACCACGCTGGTCTCGTTGACCCAGGGGCAGAGCTGCTCAGTGGAGGTGAAGGCTGCTTTGACAATGCTATCCCAGTGTTTTGTACTGGATAAATGTAAGACGTAGGGAAGTTCAGCCCAGGTTGGGCTATGGGCTTTATTTAAGCAGAATCATCCTGAGAAATTTCTAACCCGTCTGGGTCAGAATGCGCCAGCTGGGTTATAAAGTAAAATACCCTGCACAGAAGGCAAAGCTGGCACCATTCCTGATGATCATGAGCTACTTGGTCACATGCTTTCCGCTTGCTTTCCCTGTGCCCAATGTCACATGTTAGGGAGTCTATTCACCACAACTAGGAATGTAGGATGGAGCTGTTGAGTCTAACTTTTCTTTTTTTTTTTTAAAGATTTTTATTTATTTATTGAGAGAGAGAGAGAATGGTAGAGAGAGAGCACGAGAGGGAGGAAGGTCAGAGGGAGAAGCAGACTCCCCGCCGAGCAGGGAGCCCGATGTGGGACTCGATCCAGGGTCTCCAGGATCATGACCTGAGCCAAAGGCAGTCGCTTAACCAACTGAGCCACCCAGGTGCCCCAAGTTGAACTTTTCTTGGTATAGAACTCGGGGCTTGCCTGTGCAACCATAGTGCCTTCCACAGTGCTTTTGCTCTAACGCCTAACCCATCAGATGACCGTTGGCAATGACAGCCAGTCCCATCACAGGACATCTGGGGGACTTGCTGTAAGCTCAGATGTGGGTTTTTCTTGGATAGTTAATCTCTCATTGTTAAATCTTTGTCTCCTCACCCTCACACCTGGCAATCCGACCTCCTGGCATCTCACTTGGATGACCCACTGCTGTCAAGGTCACTACATCTCACCTTGATACAAATTGAAATCATTCAAAGTTTCATGAAGTGAACAGCTTCATATAATACACATGTAATTAAACAATAAGAAAATATTGACCTCATCCTATCTCAATGTACTTAAGGGATTGACTCCCTTCTCAAACTTTGTCTTCATGAGTGACATAATTTACCTCAATCTCTTAAACCAGGGAATCTGTATAACATGTATTTCTCTGTGTTCCTCATACCCTCAAATTACTTTTTGGTACAATGGGATTTTAGCATCGGAAGTAACCTTGGTGACCAGCAAGCCCAGGCCCCTTATTGTCAGATGGGAAAACCAAAGGCCCAGAGAGATAAAGTGATTTACCCATAGGCCAGTTAGTGGCAGAGGTGGAATTAACTTTTCCCATAATGACATTCACTGGTCATTCATTCGTTCATTCATTCACCTACTTAAACATTTACTGAGTGCCTTTTATGTGCGTGTTGAGACATCACCGTAACAGCAGCTACACCTGTATGAAGCTCACTGAATGTCAGGTGCCATTCTGGAGACTTCCCCAATGTTCACTTATTCAATCCCCATAATGACCCTATGAGGTGGGTTCTGTGATTATCCTCATTTTACAGATGAGGGAAACTTTTCAGGTCATTCCCCATTGTTGAGATTCCCTAAAGCTGCTGCATCCATTCTAAATGTCTCTCCTTAACTCCAACGGCTTTTGGACAAACCTGCCCCTCCCAAATGATTCAGCCTTCTCAGTCATTCTTCATCAACATGAACCCTCTGAACATGCAGATCAGACTCCTCACCACCCTCTTCCTCCCCACCACGCCGCCTCCCCCGGCCTGGAATGCTTAGACAGTAAGACTGAGATTTATTCAAATCTGTGCCCTAGCAACTGACACAGAGTAGGTGATTAGTAGAGGTTTGTTGGATGAAAGTTTTTGGTTCTTCATCAGTCCAAATCATACCTATTCTGAGTTCTTAGCTTTGCTTTCACATCCTCTCTGCAAGAGGGCCACCACAGAACTAATACTGTCAGACTTAACAGTAATAATGCTAACCACCACCATGGTTTCTACTGAATCCTTACTATGGATCACACACCAAATCATACAGACATTGCATTTCATTGTAACAAAACAACACTAGGAAACAAGTACTATTATTATTATTCTAATTTGCACGTGAAGGTTTTGAGGCACCAAGAGGTTAAATAACTTGCCAAGATCACACAGCTAGTGGAGCCAGTTGATCTTGAGCCACTGTGGTAAATTCTCTCTTGGTAAATACTTTGATTTTTCTGACTGAACTGCTTTGGAAATGCTGGTGAGTACTTTTGTATCCCGTACCTTGACTTCTCCATCTGATCTGCCAAAGTCGAGGCACAGGAATTCGAAATAATTTTGTTTTAATGAGAACCTGATATAAATTGTTATTTCTATCCTTGTTCATGTGCACATAAAATCATGATGCGGAGAAGCTCTGTAGAGAAAGGGAACCTAATGCCCTGGTGTATGCAGTGCCTGATAGCCGAAGCTTTATAGGTTCATATTCAAGTAGGTATTTTCATCTTACAAGGGTCTAGTTATCTGGTCCTGCCATCCTCCCCTCACCCCCCACCCCTTCACTGCCTATAAGAATATTGGTTTTTACATTCACAAGGGCACATGGCTGCTACATGGATCTGAGCTACAATTACTCAAATTTCCAGTTGGGCTTTCGTGAGCAGTATTTCAGCCCCAGAAGAATTTGTTTTGTGAATAGCCAAATGTAGCTCTGATTTTGAGTTGGAAGCCTTGCTTATCCACTTATCAGATCCTTAAAGCACAGCCCAGTTCCAGAGGGACCCGCCAGGGTGCCTGCAGACAGCCACAGAGACCGTCAGAAGGCCCTTCCCCTGCCTAAGGACCGTCCTTCAGACCTGAAAACAGAACAACTGTAGCCTTAGTAGGCAATGACTTGTCTGCACCCCACCCTCGGCATTGCTCTCACCTGCTGGCGTTGGGAGTGAGCCAGTCTAGTTCATCGCCAGGTCTCCCGGACAGGCTTCCCTGAACACTACCCAGCTGCACATCTCCCTCCATTCTCTGTAGCTGCCTCTGCCTTCCTGAGCAAGCAATCCTGCAAAGAACCTAGGGAGAAGCTGTGGGTCTCACCAAGTGCCCCAGTCCCAAGGAGAGCCACTGTGGACTTAGCAGCCAAGTCAGTGACAAGAACGCTGTGCAAAGGGACAGACCATGAAGGAAGCATGGGCCTGGAAGGCACTCAGATCCAAGTTCCAATTCTGATGCTTCTACTGAGAGTCTGTTAATCACATTTAATAAAGAACCAGAACTGTCAGCCACTATTTACTAATGCCTCAGCTGTGCACGGTGCACCGGGGAACATGAGAGTGAACAGGTAGGACCAGTCCCTGCCTTCCTGGAGCTTACGATTGACTGGGCATCCAGATAAATAGAACGCAAGGGGGATAAGTGTGAGGGTGTGGCCTCTCTGAGCCTCAGGTTCTTTATCCAGAGTAGGGGACAATATAACTTCTTTAGAGGATTGGCATGCGGAAATATTAACCAGTCTCATGGAGAGTATATGGCCAGAATCTAACAGACCCCCGCCTGGACAAAGCTAACTCCCTTCTTGCCAAGCTCCCAACTTCACCCACTCTTATTTTCCTTGTCCAGGGTACCTTCTGTACATCCCTCCCTGGTCTGTCTCCCTTCCCCCCTAACTTCTAACTATCAAAAACATCCATGAATTATTAATAAGTCTTAACAAGGGTGTGAGAATAGAAAGAACTAGGGGGAGGTGGCCCCTAGATCCAGCCCTCCCTGAAACCCTGTCCCAGAAAGGACTGGTCAGCAGCCACTGTCTTGGCTCTTGGCTCCATAGAAGGAGCACATTGGCCAGATTGATAGAATTTTTCTTCCCTTCCACCATTCCCTTCCAAAGGCTGCATCTTTCAGTGTGCTCTGCCTTTCTTCATTATGTGGAACAGGGAGCTTATTACATGTCCATGGTATGAAAAGGATTAAGCAGGACAACGACCCCTCCTCCCTGTGTGACCATCACCCAGACACCAGGCATTTGTCTTCCACTCTCGCAGGAGTGACACTTCTTCACTGCTCACCATAGTCGGTGTTTTCAGGCTCCCAGCAGTTCGAAGGCCAAAAGTACGGGGCCTGCAAAAGAGCACAGGTGTCAGGACTCAGAGGAATGCGGGCACTTGCCCTCCTCGGCCCGGAGCGAGTGTCCACCCTCTCCAGCACCCAGTGAGGACCCCTCTCGGTGACAGGCTCTGCCCCGTCTCTTTCATGCCGACACCACATCCCCAACTTTCTCCTGTTCTTAATGCAGCTGAGGCTGTCAACATTTTAACCTAGGTATTGAGAAATGAAATCCAAGGTGAGCAAAATAAATGCAAAAATGAGAAACTTAGTTTATAGGGCAAACATTTCTTATCCCAAGACCGGCACAGCTTACTGGGCACACAAGCTCCAAGTTCCTTTTATCCCTTTGAATTGTGTGCCCCTAAAACTGACATGCAGAAGCCTAGCCTGAAGTGTGGCTGTATTTGGAGTAAGGAAGTAATTAAGGTTAAAAGAGGTCACAAGGGTGGGGTCCTGATCCCATAGGATTAGTGTCCTTATAAGAGGAGCCGCCAGAGAGCTTGCTTTCTCTTTGTCTCTGCCATGTGAGGAGGATACAGCGAGAAGGGGCTGTCGGAAAGCCCAGATGAGAGCCCTCACCACAAATCTAACTTGCTAGAACCTTGATCCTGGACTTCCAGCCTGTGGAACAGTGAGAAATAAATTCCTGTTGTTTAAGCCACCCAGTCTGTGGTATTTTGCTATAGTAGCCAGAGCGGACTGAGATACCCTTTGATGCTGTCTGAAAAACTCCACTCCAAACACCTTGGTGTTGACCTTGACACGGACTCTTACCCTCTGCCCCATTTCCCTATATGACAGGATCTGTGAAAAGGAGAGGAAAATGGTGGGAGGGCTTAGGCAGAGGATAGAAACTTCACACCAGGAAGGCAGCATGACAGAGTAGAAAGATCAAGGACTTTGCCATCGGGCTGACCCACACTCAGATCAAGGCCACCTCCCAGATTTATTAATCCTCAGACACCTCAATGTTCTCATCTGTCAAATGGGTGATATTTACCTCCCAAAAGTTTGTTCTTCAGAATGAATGAGGAAATATGTGGAAACCCCCCACCCCAACGACAAATGGCCCAAATAAAATCTTGTTTGGCCTTCCCAGCGCTGGGGCGAGGTAAGGGTTGCTGCCTTAAATACCCTCAGTTTTGTAGGTAGTTCTAATCTGAGATCAGATGATAAGAGAAGGTTCTTCAGGGAGAGATGCTGGCAGGCCTACCTGGAAACGGTAAAAGGTGCCATCATCCTTCATGGTGAGAACGTGGTCCGAGATCGGAAAGATGTAGCCCTGGGCGGCTATAAGGCTTCCCAAGTGTATTGCTTCAACTGCATGGACAGGGCAGAAGAGAGGAGTATTTACCAAGCTGTCAGAATGCAGGTTTCCTTAGCTGGAATGTAAGTCAGGAGGGCAGAAAGGCAACCAGAAATCAACTGTTGTCACCCTCAGGTAACTGCATGATCGATTGACTGATTGATTGATAACCTTTGATATCAATGCACTGGGCTGGATGGGGTGGGTGTCAGTGGTTGGGAAGGGCCAACATGTGTCTGGGACTCATCTGGATCCCAGCTCTGAGAGTCTGGCTTTGGTTAACTTCCCCCCCGAGACTTCCAGAAGAAAGTAGCTTCACAGTTAAGAGCAGGGCCTCTGGCACATATAGACCTATACTGAATCAAGTGGGATGTTTCACGTAAGTGCTTAGCAGTGCCTGGTGTTCAGTAGGGGCAGGCAGCCCTGATTCATGTTGCTAGTTTCATCATTTTTATTCCCCAGCAATGAGCACGTAGCCTCACTGCCCAGAGAGACTCTCGACTCCCATGGCATTCCCCGATATGACAGTCCCACTGGAGAAGAGGAGAGCATTTCCTTTCTCTTATGGACACAGAGTAAAACCTCACTTTCTTAGAAAATTGGAGGAAGGACACTGCAGTGGGGAGTGGCAAAGGGAAGCTGACCTGATAGAAATATGTACATCTTTGCCACAATCAACCCATTGTTTTGTGACTTAGTATCAGCCATAAATAGATTCACGTAATCAATAATTTGTATTTACTCTGAGCAGGGCTAAGAAAAAAAATAACAAATCTATATGGTTCTACCATGCATGATAATCTTTCACAAATATAAAAGTACTCTTTTTGGTAAAAACTAATTTTTGGATATGGAAATTATTGATATGCTTAAGGAATCTCCAGGAATTATTAATTTCATAAGCTCTGAATTTTTTAAAGCAACTTGTTTTGTCTTTACTTGCAGACTTCTCAAGAGGTTGTATATAATCCAAGTGTTTTGCTTATTTAGAATCACCTATCCTTCAGAAATAACTGGTGGAATCAGAATGAAGTTGTATCTTATTTGCTTAGTGATGACCAGTGTGTGTTTTAAAGTCTACCTGCTTCAAGAATCATGGGTCCAGCAAAAAAAAAGAGTTTCATCACTAGCAGCTGCTCCTTCCCCAGGGAAGAGAGCACAACTTCCAGTAAGAAGTTGACTTTCACATCACCAGTGTAGGAGCTAGAACTCTCACTTCATCTTCTGTGGTTTTGCTTAGATATATGGCAGACAGGGAGGGAGGGACAGACGTTGGATGAGCCTGACTTCTGGGACTTTGATTTGCCTCTTTTCCACCCTTCTATTCCCAGCTGGTGAACAGTTCTCAACTTCTCCTCACCCATTTCTCAGAAGCCCAAACAGTTCCCAGTAACATGATGTCCTCCCAAGGCCATCTGTGTATAAGAGAGCTTCATAGATATGATCTTTTTTAGGTATTATTCACGACTTTTCAGGGAAGCCTCTCATATGAGGGCCGGAGGCCTCCTGAAGCCTATTCCCCTACCACCAGCTGGCTCAGGGCTTTCACAATACTGCTACCGGTACTAACAATCATAATAAAGCATGTGTCAGAAATACAAGAATTATTGTAGAAGGGCAAAGGACAGAGTGCTACTGGAAGAGAAAAGACCACCATGGAGAAATTACTCCCTAGGCTAAGCATTATAACCAAAGAAACATTGATTTTAAATACATGGGACTAAGCTGGTAGAAATGTATTCGGTCCAGGCTTTACAAGTGGACAATGGCAAGTCCAGGTTGCATGAGGGAAACACATGGTGTAGTTAATTTGGGTTCTTTCCTTAAGAGGATCTGAATTCACAGTTTCCCCCTGTGGATTAAGAGCTTAACTAGATTTAAGAATTTTCACTAGTCATGGAAGTGGCCATTAATCATGATGGTGAACAAGGCTAGTGTCACTTCCATCAATGACCTGCTTTTGTGGCACTCAGATTTCTGGCACCTATATTTCCTTGAACGCCATGTAAATTATATTGGTTCTTAGTCAATAGTATATTAGGAGCATCAGATTAAAATAGAGGAAGTCCTGAGCTGACATAGTGACCCCTAGCAAGGAATCACAGACCCCTAGAAAGGGCATTAAAAAAAAAATCTTTAGAAAGCATAGCCATTGGAAGCCATTTAATTTGGGTCAGATAGATCTAATCCCCAAGAACATAAGAATACATTAATGGATATTTATAAATATGACCTTCAGGCATTGAGAATACTCAGTTAAAACAGGAAGTATATAATAAACTCCAAAAAGTATTAACTAACACATGGATAGTAAGCTTTACTTATCTGCAATTTTTATTTTTCTGAAACTCCTCATTTTCTACTTATGCTGTGAAAATAAATTTTACTACTTATTTTCTGGTGGGAGGACAGATTTGGAAACTGTTTTATTGGCCAGAGTTTTGTTGTTGTTTTTCTGGTAAGGTTTTCCTAATTGAAATGCACAAATTAAGGTTGGAAAAAAAAATCATTCTTTCACTTCTTGCAGAAGCAGAAAACAGAAGGAGTCTTAGCAAATAATTAGACATCTTAATTGTGGATCAGGCAATCTAATTTTAAGAGCTGGCTCTAGAAGGCTGTTCCGTGATAGTTCTACAACTTATCTTTAATTGCTGTGGCTAACGAGAATTCATCCCATTTCACACGTTATTGTATTGGGCTCTTTGGCACTCTAAATAATTGCTCATTTCCTCAAAGGGTGATTTAGATTTAAAGATAGATATTCAGTCAAGAAAATAAATTAATTTTATTTGCAAATAGAGTGATTCCACATCTTGGGATTCATATTTATAAGTCCAGTTCTCAGGAGAATAGGAGAATCTGGTCTGGAACTTGTTTATGGGATGTTTCTCAGTACCACGGAGGATAAAGTCAGGGTCAAGTACCTGGGTCCTCGATGCAAAGGTTCTTCATAAGCCACTGCACGATGTCAGTACCTGAAATGATAAAGCAAATTGAACTGAAGACGTCATGGATGCGTACCCTGTGGCAGAAGAAACATGTTTATCTAAGAAAGTCCTAATTCCAACTAGCACACGCCCAGAGAGCTAGGTAATACTGACAATTTTCCATCCTAACTAACCACATCTATCCACTGGGACACTTCCATAGTCACAGTCCTATTTGTTTCCAAAAACATCCACTTCCGATGACTCAGGATGATCTTGTGTCCACGCTTCTAGGGATTATCTACAGGAGACTTCTTGCAAATACAGATTTTGATGACTTCCCAGAGAAAGGCTAGATGAAGTTTTACCACACCTGGCCCCCAGGATATTTCCCGAGGGAGGAGGCCTCTTCAGCTCCCTACCCTAACTGACAAGGCCTGACCAACACAGGTGACCTTACAGGTCCCTAAAAAAACAAAACAAAACAAAACAAAACAAACCCAACAAAAAACAAAAAACAAAACAAAAAACCTTTAATTTTTCCTGGCATGGGCATATTTTAAATGAAAATGCCCCTGTTTCTGGGGAGAAACTTCTATGCGTTCACCAAAACTTCTTTCCTCTATTCCTTGGGTCACTAGATTACATTTCTAGACTCTTCTGCAATTGGGTATAGATTGAGTTCTTACAATGGAATATGGCTAGAAATGATGTATCCTGCTTCTAGGCCTGGACCATAAAACTCCCATGTGACTCTGCAAACCCTTCATTCCTTATCTGCTGACTGAACAGTGAGGACCCCAAGAACCCAGGGGAGGACAGAGCCACAATGTGGAAGGAGCGTGGGCTCCCAAACAACCATGAAAATTGATGCCCATTTTGGGCTCTGACTTGATTAAAAGATAAACTTTGTTGTGTTAAGCCCCAGAAGTTGGGATTTATCTGTTTTGATATTGAGTACTACCTTAATTAATATAAAATTGTAAGAGTCAGAAGGGACTTTTAAGTCTTATCTACTCCAACCCTAGCCAATACTGGAACTGCATCTATAATACCTCGGACAGGAGGTGCCATGATCTCCACTGGGAAAAACCCTAGTACCTGGGAATCACAGATTCCCCCCTAGACAGGCTGTCCTAGTCAGATCATCTTTGATTTCTCTGAACAGAAATTTGACCCTTTCTAAATTCCTCTCTTTGGACTTAATTTTGCCCTCTGATGATAGAGAAACAAATCCAGACCTCTTGCTCTGGATAGAGTCCATCTGATATACTATCAACATTCTCCTTGAGTTTTCTCCCCTCCAGGTGAAACATACCTGGGTCCCTCAGCTATTTCCTGCCATGACATGACCTAGAGCCCTTTCCCATTTTGGTCAAAATTCTCTGAATATGTTTCCTTTTGTTTGCCTCCCTTTGAAGATGTTGCACCTAGAGCCAATGTGGGAGTAGAAGAGTCCAAATTTCTGGAAGGTTCTGAACTTCCGGTCTTCTCAGCCATCTCATTTGAAACCAGTGCAGATCTTCAAAGGTGGCTTTGTCACCTCGGGATGGAATGTTTGATGGAAAGCAGCCTGAAAAGGGCAACATTTCTAGATGTCTGAATCCTGTCATGCATGGGTCTGAGACTTGGTGTGAGAGAGAGGGTCTGCCCATAGCTCTTCTGGAACAGATTCCCAGCTGAAAACCTGAGAAGCTAGCAGAAGTCTTTAGCGAGCATTGCCCTTTCCCCAGAAATAAAGTTTCCCAGACATGTTCCAGAGGCGAGAGCAGCTCAGGCCTGTTTCTCCCTGGCTCCCTGGAGGGGGAATGAACCTTGCACAGTAGACAATCAAGGCCCCATCCTACTATTTCTGTGCTTCCCCCAGGACGAGCCTCCACTGACACAGCCCAGCAAGTTCCCCCCATTTCAACCTCCAAAGCAGAACTTCTAAGCTTTTCCCCACTCTCGCTCCCGGATGGCATCTATGAGCTAAACTTTGGATCAAAAACCTTCCTATTCATTCACATTCTTTGAGCAAAAGGAGAGAATGTCTGTGTGTGGTTGTGTGTGTGTGTCCATATCCTCCAAATTATACAAGTTCAACATTTGTCCTAGGAAATGAAGAACAAAGCAGAAATCAAATAAGAACTGTAATCCCAAGTTGGGGGTGGGGGAGAGACTGTAACCTGTTTTTTCCTCAAAAGAAAAATAGTTCTTTTTTGTGGGTTGCCTGGAAACAGATAGGTTTCCAGCATCAGCAACAGCTCTCCCCCGGGCAGGCGGATTATCTTTCTGCTGAGCTTGCTGAACCATTATTTATCACCTGCCAAGATTGATTACTCACCCTGGGACAATGACAGCCCTTCCTTTCCCCTGTTAATTACTGTCATCATTAATATCCATGTCACTAATTAGTATTCATTCACATTGAAACTCCTTCCTTGCTATCATATCCGTTCCCCCCGTCACCCCACCCGAGACTTTAGCACCATTGTCTAGATTTCTACCCCCTTTTGGTTTTTTGCACTCCGTGTCTGGCCTAATTGCTCTCCCCAGTCCACCAGGCCCTGGTTTGCATTCACAGAGCTGAAGGATCACATTTAAACATTTAAGCCCCCTCCCCCCCCCCTTTTTTTTGGTCAAGAAGGGAAAGTCACAAAACCCTCTTTCCTTTTTACCTAGCAATGTGGGGACCACAGACTTGGATTTCTTGTCCCTGGGGCAGCCACGGTAACAGTCAGGGTCTTTCTCTGGGGACTGGTGTGAGTGTCCTTGAGCCCCGGTGAGGGCCGAGCTGGACCCCCTGGCTGTCCTGGGTCCCTGCCCCCAGTCTGCAGCAGTAGCCGCCTCCCCACTGTCCCTCACCCACTGCGGGCCTGCAGGGTGGACTTCAGCGAGCACAACAATGCCTCGTGTGGTGAACCTTCTCGTTCTCTTGGGTGTGGGGTGTTTTAGCTTCCTCGGACTAACCCAGGAGGGGCCAGCCTCCAGCCTCGTGGCAGGACATAAATGTTGCATGTTCAGCCCCGGGAAAAAGTAAGGGAGGGAAATCTGTCATAATATTATGTCCTTTAAAAGACCTACAATTATTCCACAGCAGAATCAGGCGAGCATAGTGCAAACAACCGTCAGGAGAAAGCATTTTTCTTCTTTTTTCTCTTTCCTTTCTTTCCTTTTTCCCTCCAGCCCCCAATCAATTTTTTCCCTCCTATTCGAAAAAGAATTTGAAGCAGATTATTTTTCTATTCTCTCTCAAATGAATTGTTGCCCTTTGTTACCACTGTTGGATGCGGTTCTTATCTTAGTCAAGCTGCCCTGCCAAGGACTTAAAACCAAAAAAGAAACATTAGGGACAAACGCACCTTTATCCCCAAAGGTTCTAAAACACTTGGCTGAAAGTTTTCTTTTTGAGGCTAATATAGCCACATATATTCCAGGGATATCCATGAACTACATCAGAGGCACCCGAAACTCTTCTCCACAACATGCGTGGTGTGTTAGTGCATTTAAGTAGACATTTCTATGCAGATAAGCTTTCAGTTTCTATATGTGTTGTATGTACGTATTTCAGTTATGTCTTTTACATATAAGGATGTGTATTGGAAGGGTGTTTGGACACAACTCAAACGTTCTCAAGTAGGGGATTGAATGATTAATTATGGCTCATCCATACAATACATATTTATTGAACACCTACTGTATTGAATGAAAAAGCAGAACAGGAACAGTGTGTATTGTAAGAATGACGTTTTTACAATAGAAAATACATATTTACATTTGTATCTATTAATTACGTATGTATAGATATATACATGTACTGAGAAGAAAAGTTCTGGAAGGATATTTAAACTGTTTAGGTGATCTTGGAGAGAGGGGAGGGTCAAATCACGGGAAATTTCTATTCTTTTCATGTCCTTCTTATTTGGAGCTCAAGAACTTTAATATATTGCTTACACACTGAGAAAAAGACTTTTCACTGTCAAGAGCAGAGAGGGACGCACCGGCCTCTGAGACTGCTGTGGACAGGCTGTGGGGAATCAGGTTGCAGACGCAAAGTGGAGAGGGTGGGGGGAACTCTGAGCTGCTGCCCCTGGGCCCTGGGCATGTCCTGCTCCTCTGGGAAAGTGCAGAGAGGAACGAAGGCATGACTTGCAAATCTGCCTTTTCCCTGAGGAGTAAAGAGTGGGAGGCTCACTCCTAAGCCTCAAGTTGTCACTCTCTGTGGCCATTGGACCAGCTAAAGGGGCTGCTCACCGCAGTCCTGGACTAAGGGTGACCATCTGCACTCTGCACCCCTCAATATAAACTGGATTTGAGTAAGCTGGTAAGATCTTCCAATATTTTAGGGAGTTCTCTTTCTGGTTTGGGGGAGATCCTTATTATAAAAAGGTTCTACACTGAGCTTTGTCCTCAGGTGTTTTAAGCACCCCAAAGATTAAGGGATACCTGGAACTTCCTCCCAAATAAGTCAGAACCTAAGGGGATCCTATTCTGAAACACTTGCCCCATTCTCCCCAGAGTATTGGAACAACTGGAGCCCAAATTGATTATGCAAACTTGAGAAAAGACTGGTTCCAGGCACCTGCAAATTTCAAGTCATGTGAAACTTGGTAGCTTATAAATCATAGTTCTGGTAATTGGAGCAATTGATAATTTACTTATCAATCCTCACCACTGGGGAAAGACACCTTCACTTGAGTAAACTCTTTCTGGAGCCCAACAAAAGATAAGATTGTTCCTGCTGTGAGTGACCTCCCGGTACTCCTCAGTCAAGGTTATGATTCAGTCCACCCCAGGGTTCTCACATACCTGCCAAGGTCTCTGCAGCACCCGTGAGTGAAGAGGACAGCTTTGTGCCACCTGATCACGTAGGTGCGACGTGCAGGCCAACACTCACGAAGGAGGGAGACATTGCCTAGGGCCCATTGTGTACCATGCCAGAGCCAGGCACCTGACACTGTAATCACATATCATCTTGACAATAATTGTGCAAAATACGATACCTAGCATACCCATTTCACAGATGAGGCCCAGAGAGGCCCGAGGCCACATACCTATAAGAGCCA